AGGGGTCCAACATTAGGATAATTATTGTCTTAATTTACTGTTTAAGAAAATAAAGGAAAAGAACCACATGAATCATATCACTTGATACACAGAAAGCATTTTGACAAAAGTCAGCACTCTTTCCTGATAAAAACTCTCAACAGACTGGGAGTTGTAAGGCAGCAGATACTCACAGCTCCTGGGATTCAGACATTGACAAATTCGGGGGCATTGGTTGCTCAGTGAGGGGTATTCATAAGCCTACCACAATTAATAACGACTTTAAGGTATTTGAAAAATGGCTCAGACTCCCCTTCTGATTATTCATGTGGTAGATGCATAGCCTGTACATATTTAATTTGGTTAAAATGGGGGTCCCTAAGAGAGCTATAGTGGCTTAGTGGTAAGACGCTGATCAGCCATCCCAAAGGCCCATGGTTTGAATCCACCAGGTGGTCTATGGGAGAAGGATGGGCAGTTTCCTCAGGTGCGATTTACTGAATCTGAAAACCCACTGGAAGGCTCTGACTTGACGGTACACAGTGACAACACATGCATAGCATGGTTTTGTCGGGTTTGAGTGTTTTTGCTTTGTTTTGCTTTGCTTTTAAGGAGTTCTGGATTGCTATGAGTCATACTTGACTTAACAACAACACCTAACCACCACATCAACACCCCGCAGGGTTCAGAAATGAAAATCTTTGCAGCACTGTTTTGTTTCCTTGTATTCTACCTCTAGGGGGCAGTATCAGCTGTTGGTTCAGTCAGTTACTTTGCTGCTTCTTGTAAACACATTGAATGTAGATTATTTGTTGTTACATTTTTTGAGGAAGGGAACACATCTGATATATCAGAAAATGCAGTGAAAGGAAGGTCCAGAACTACAGTTTTCATTCCACTAATAAGGATTAAGATCTCACCAATGCTGAGACAAACAGAATCCTTCGGAAAACAAGAGGGTGTGACAGGATGTGGGTTTTGAAGGTAGCATAGGAGTTTTGTACTGTGAGGTACATTTGGACCATCTCATTGTGAGCTTAGGGCCATCATTAAGAACATTCTTTTAAGGTGCCATTTAATCCCCTTTATAACACCTCTGCAAGCCTTTAGACAGCACCCACTTCAGATTCAGACACTTGTGTATTGCCCCCGCTCCTCTCCCTCCGCCCCCATCAGGTGAAACTCAAGTGCGAAAAACACACTTAACTTTCAGACTGGCTTGAGTTAAAGAAAGAACTGTGTTATCTCATGTGACTAAAAACTCTAAGACAGAAAGAGAACAGCGGGGAAGGAGGATGGCGGATATCATCACAAGGCTTCAGGAGGACGGGATCCAAAACCGTGTGATACAAGAGGGCCAAGGAGAGCTTCCTGACTTTCAGGATGGAACCAAGGCCACCTTCCACTACCTGACACGGCACAGTGATGAGGAAGGCACCGTCCTGGATGACAGCCGGGCGCGCGGCAAGCCCATGGAGCTCATCGTCGGCAAGAAGTTCAGGCTGCCGGTGTGGGAGACCATCGTGTGCACCATGCGCCAGGGCGAGATCGCACAGTTCCTCTGCGACATCAAGCACATGGTCCTCTACCCCCTGGTGACCAAGAGCCTGCACAACATTGTGTCCAGCAAGGACCCCCTGGAGGGGCATCGGCATTGCTGTGGCATCGCCCAGATGCATGAGCACAGCTCCCTGGGCCACGCCGACCTGGATGCCCTGCAGCAGAACCCGCAGCCCCTCATCTTCCACATCGAGATGCTGAAGGTGGCGAGCCCCGGCATGTACCTGCAGGACTCGTGGGCCGTGACTGATGAGGAGAAGGCCAAGGCCATACCCATCATCCACCAGGAGAGCAACCAGCTGTACCGGGAGGGGCATGTGAAGGAGGCCACCACCAAGTACTATGATGCATCACCTGCCTCAAGAACCTGCAGATGAAGCAGCAGCCTGGGTCCCCTGACTGGATCCAGCTGGGTCAGCAGAGCACCCCACTACTTCTCTGTTATTGCCCGTGCAAGCTGGTGGCGGAGGAGTACTACGAAGTGCTGGACCACTGCTCCTCGATCCTCAACAAGTATGATGACAACACCAAGGCCTGTTTCAAGTGGGACAAGGCCCACGCGGCCGTGTGGAATGCCCAGGAGGCGCAGGCTGACTTTGCCAAGGTGCTGGAGCTGTGGTAAGCCGTGAGCTGCACACCCTGGAGGCACGGATCCGGCAGAAGGACGAGGATGACAAGACTCGATTCCGGGGCACCTTCTCCCACTGACGGGGGTCCCCGGCCAGCCCTGCCCACACTGCCAAGCCTGCTGCTGCTACCACCAGCCCCCTACCTCTGCTCCATCACAGTTCTCTGTATAAAGGCCTTATTTATTTATCTCTGAAAACAAAACACAAAAACACCAGAACAAAACAAAAACAACCCTCTAATTCACAGACTTCGTACATGACTGGAGGTGGGGAGGCGGGAGGGGCATGCTCAGTGGCTCTGGTTTCTGGTCACTCTCTCCACCCTTGATTCTGCTTCTGGTAGATCTCCTCAGGGGAGGACCATGAAGACCGCAGATCTCACTCACCTGTCGCTGCCCAGTCCATTCAGTCCTGTTCACAAGCCCACATCAGACCCACTGCCCTTGATTGGATTTCAGCTCATGATCACCCTCCGTGGATTTCTGAGACTGTTGCACTTAACAGAAGGGTCTGCCTTATCTTTTATGGGGGGAGCTCTTCAAGTCCTCAGGCTCCTCCTCTCTAGGATTTCAATGGAAATCAAGTCAGCCACCACCGGTGGTAGAATCGTGCCTGTTAAGGAGGCCTGAGGAGGTGGCCCAGTAACTGAGTCGTTTGAATGTTGTGCAAGAACCATCCTTTAGCAAAGATGTAGGCTTGAGGGGATGGAGTCACTCCACAGACCTTGCCCTCTGAGGCCGGTCCCTGCTCCCCCGCCACACGTGACCACCGACCTGGGTGCATCCCCCAGCCCTTGTGCACGCCCTGCACGTGACCACCTACCTGGGTGCGTCTGGGCCCTTGCGCACACCCTGCATGTGACCACCTACCTGGGTGCGTCTGGGCCCCTCCAAACATTGTACATGATGGGTAACCATGATGGTATTTGACATGACTATGGCACAGTGTTCAGAATCACAGCAACTCCAAGTTATTCAGTACAGGAAATAGAAACCTGTATTACCTAAATAATAGTCATACTAAAATTAGTAACACACCCTTAAGCAGGCCTCCACCCTTGGTCAAAAGTTCATTCAACTGACATCTGCTTTTGGGTGGAAAAGAACAGTAACACATATCAAACATGACCCCAAAAATGGAAGGGAAAGGATCTGAATTAACTTTCACTTTTATTCTAGTTAATCTCTGGAGCAGCCCATGAAGTAGGCCTTATTAATATGCCCTTTTTACAGACAAGGAAACTGAGACCCAGAGAAAGTCAGTGGCAGGATTCTGGGCTCACCCACAGCTCTCCAAATCCCCAGATAATTAGTGAGCAATATATATAGTTAAATGCTAACAACTTAGGGCTTAATTATATACTATTTTGTACCATATTGTATATAATTTAATACTAATTGCAGGGTTTCAAGGATGAGCTGAAGCGAGTGGGGGCGGGTGTGGTAAAGGAACCTGCATGGAGGCTGATGGGAACTGTGCTGGGTGTTGGAGAAGATTTGGGTGGAGTCTGGAGAAGGGTTGGACTGAATTTCTGGAAAAGGGAGTGCAAGGATTTAAAGCTTTAGGGTAGACCCGAGCGGGGAGCAAGGAGGAGAGAGGGGCAGGGATATGCTTTTTACACAGTGGAGCTGTTATGTGTGAGAGTGACTACGTTTCAGTGGAAGCTTTGTAAGTTCCAGGCTCTATGCTAAGCTTTCCCATGTTTCTGCATGCAGTCCTCACGTAAACCTATGACTGAAAGAAAGGGCTACCCAGGGAAGTACTGTTATCATCCCATCTTACAGATGAGGAAACTTAATTCCAAGACTGGCCTCTAAAGCTTATGTTCTTCCCAGTCCAGATGTAAAAAGGGGGTCGGGGGAGGTTGTGGTGACTCACGGGAAATGAGGTTGCTTGGTCAAGAGAGCTCTGATGGCCTAGTGGTAAGGACATGGGCTGTGAACCCAAAGGTAGGTGGTTCTGATCCACCAGCTGCTATCCCAGGAGAAAAATAGTTTTCTCTCCTGCATTTTACAACCTCTGAAAACCCACTAGAGGGTCAGATATGAGTCAGTTCCAACTTGACAGCACAAGAGAACAGCCAACAATGCTAGTGAAGGGTGGTGCCTGAGAGTACAAGAGTACTCCCGAGCGCCCCCCCACCCCGCCCCAGTGAACCAGAATGCACACGCCAACAAAATCTCCAGGTGATTTGTGTGCATGTGAGCATTTGCAAAACCGAGGACCAGGGTGAGTAGTTGATAATGGGTAGCTGGGAAAACTGGTCAGCAGTCGTGTGTGTGTGTGTGTCTCAGAGTTTTTCTGATGTGTGTGCTCTTCCACGGTTCTCTTCTTCCTGGAGGAGGAGAAATGCATTCCCAGAGGGTTTGAGGTCAAGCTCAAGACAGCTGAGCCACCACAAGCTGAGAAGGCTTTGAAGTGTCCTACTTCATCTCGAAATGTCATTAACTGTTTCATTCTATACCATAATGATCATTTTAATACTTCAGAATGGTTCCATAAATGACCGTGGAAGAGGAGTCGTGTTCCAGGAAGATGCATGGAATGGGTTTCCATGTATCTTAAGTGGGGGAATAATAACGATTTCAAAGGCTGCTGCAAAGATCAAAGGAGAGTCATATTGTCATGGATCAAAGTGCATCCTCCCAAAAATATATGTCCACCTCAAGGTTGGTTGGCATAGCAGCTGAGTCCACAAAAGACATTGTGCTACGTCCTCCATTGGTGAAGAGTGACTGAGGTCTTAAAAACTTCGGAGCTGCCAACTAAAGACAACTGTTGGACTCTTCATCGAGGGCAGAAAGTAGAGGTCATCAGTGACTAAGGGGCCACATGAACTTCAGTCTCCACAACCCAGAGGTGAGAAGAACCAGATGGTGCCTGGCTGCCTCTACTGACTTTTCTGAACGAGGTCAAGGTGGAAGGTGGCTGCCAGAGCCGGAGGGAAATGTGGAACAAAACTCAGAACAATACAGAAGAGCAGGACTGCTGGTCTCAGAGAGACTGGTGGAGTCCCGCGAGACTGTGACCCTTTCAAGCCTTGGCCTGAAGTCACTGCCTCGGACCAACTTTCAGCCAGATGGAGACGAGCGGGAGGAGGGGAGGTTTGAAGAGGAGCAGGTCTGTAAAGTGATGAGGCTCCGCAGAATAACCAGTTATGCCGGACCAATCTGGGGGAGAGTCTGCCTGGGGCAGAGGCTCAGAAAGCAGAAGACAGGAAAGAAGGATGAATGGAAGTGGTGCAAACAGGGAGGAAGTGGGAAAAAGTGGTGTTGCAGGGTGAGGATTATGATCATGAACATGGGTATGTGTGAATTAATTGCATGAAAAGCTAATTACTTGCTCTGTACACTTTCGTTGTAATCACAATAAAAATCATATCTATCTCTCTCTCTCTATCTATCTAGACACATATTTTACATATATAATATGTATGTCAGTTACTTTTGTAATAGTAGCGTAAGTATTGTTACATCCATTGAGCTGGAATGCATACATCAGCATTGAGTTTAAAGAAGGTGCTGAATGTTTCCTCAAAGGATGGTAGCTGTGCTGCATACTGCTATACACATATGTCTTGCTTATCTAGTGCTGCTTTGACAGACACGCCACAGGTCGTTCCCAGACAGGAACTGATTCACAGTTAGGAGGCCAGCCGTTGGAACGCAGGCAGGTCCTCCACATTGTGTGCCATCCTCCAATAACACGTGTTGTTATTCCAGAAGGAACCCAGAGTGAGAGTGCCCCACTTCCTGTTCCCAGCTGGGAGGAAAAATGGGGTGACAGGTACAAACGGAAGCAGATGGCTGTACTGTGGGTCCTGTGGGAAGCCGAAGAGAACAAGGGATTGGCCAGTCAGGCCAAGGCCAGGAGCGACTCTCTGCTCTCCATTCAGAGGACCTTGTTTCCTCAGACTTGGAGAGTGAAATGATCACAGAAAGAGAGAGAGCTAGAGCTAGACAGACAGACCAACTACCCACAGCTGAGGGCACGGAAGGAAGGGTAGCCAGAGGCTGACCAGGCAGTGAGACTCGCTCAGTGCCACAAAACCAGATGAAGAGAATTTGAAGGATGGATGTCAGCAGTTCCTCAAGGCCCCGAGGGTTGAAAAAGGTGAGGTGGGAAGAAAGAGCTTTGGTAGAATCTTGGCAGTTTTGTTTATTTGGTTTTTTTAAGCTTTTTATTGTTTTTATTGTTACTTGTGTGAATGTTTACAGAACAAATGGATTTTCCATTCAGCAGTTCATGTTTGTTTTGTAACATTGTTTGCAGTCCCCACATTGCAACAAGGTTCTTCCCACCTTCTTCCCCCAGTTCATCATCTCCATAGTCCTTCTTCCTTAACCTCCTGCCCTCTGAGCTTTTTCCTTGGCCACATGTTTCCCTTTTAATCCTGTGTGATAGATTGATCTAAGGAATGCATATCTCTGTAGGATTATCACTCCCTTTTCTGAGCTATCTGATCATTTGGCTAAGAAGTGCTGGTGGCCGTGGTGTCAGTCTGCTGACTCATAGGTTAGAAGTTCAAATCCACCAGCTGCTCCTTGGGAGACCAATGGGCAGCCTCCTCCTATAAAGATTTGCAGACTCACAAATCCAGGGGAGGATTGCTATGAGTTGAACTTGACTCACAGCATTGTTGTTGTTGTATAACATCGAGTTGCGGGTTTTCAGAGACACTTTAGTCTCACGGGAGGAGATTGCCCATCTTTTTCCCACAGAGCAGCTGCTGGATTTGAACTGTGGGCCTTCAAGATTGCAGCACAGCTCCTCACCACAAGGCCACCAGAGCTTCCTGCCCACAGCAGTAGGTTTAGGTTTTCTGGTTTATTGTTTGGCTGAAAGTTGAACCAGAGGGGAGAGTTCATTTCCAGGCTTGAAAGATGAATAAGGGCCAGTCTTGACCAGACCAGTAAGACTGGCCTTTGTATGATGTTTTTAGTTCTGCTGCACATTTTCCTTTCTCCCACTCTAACCAGGATCTCCTGTTGTGATCCCTTTCAGAGATGTCCACAGTATGGTGTCATGAGGTTCAAGCCCGGCTCTGATGACTTCAGAAGAGAAGGATAGAGAACTTTCTAGTCTCTACACCTTCAGTGACCACAGGGCTGTCACAAAAGTTCTATTTCCATTATTAATGTCCTCCTTGCCTTTTAAAAGTGGATTTCTGTAATTTGCTCTGACTCGTTACCAAGTTTACATATGTCAACCATTCCTTGACACAAAACAGAAAATCATAAGGCACTGTGTATAGTGTGATCCCATTTTTGTTGAAAGGAATCCATGTGTGGTTTTTTATATGTGCCTATAAATATGTATGTTGTGAATGGAAAACTCAGAGAAAAAGATACACAATACTAAGGACTTTACTGACATGCACATATGTTTCATTAGTATATGTAATGTATCCATTAATGATACCTTGATAAGTCTATAAAATGATAACAGAGTTTCTAATTATGTGTGTATTACTTTTAATTTTTCTGGCTGCAAATGACATAAATTCAACCAAAACTTCTGAAGTGGTAACTAAAATATCTGGGTATGCCTTCAGGCAAGTCTGGATCCACAGGCTCAGAGAGAGTAACAGAATCCGTCTTTCTGTGTCTCAGATCTTCTCTTTCCTCTGCCGGCTTCAGCCTCAGGTAGTTCTAGGCCAGCAGCTCATGAGCTCTGTCTCAGGGGTCTAATGTACATTCCAGGGCGTACTTTGAACCGCCAAGCTTGGGTCAGCGTGTTCCCTGGAGCCGGGGAACCACTGTAATGATTGGTCTCCCCATATCGTTGATGCAAGAAGAGAATTAAGGTACTTCCCGGGGCATCTAAGGAAGTCATTGTCCTGAAAGAAGGGATGGGATGAGCCCTGAAAGAAGGGGTTGGATGGGCCCTCAAAGGGTGTCCAGTGCCCTGTTGCCAGAAAAGGAAGCATGAAACAATGAATTCCTACAGGGGTCTTTACTCTCTCTGTCATACACCCTTGGACCAGCTGAGTTGTCTACAAGAAGCCTTCTTGTGGAGAAAAAGGAAATCTTTTAAACAGCCACCTTGGATTGCGTTTGGTTATGACAGTTGAGGTAATAAATAATGGGAGTTGAGGAGAGTGTAGCCTCAGTCTTGGGAGAGCCCTTCATTTCATAGGACGCAGGAGGCACGAGCAGGCCCAGGACGAGGGAGCCAGCTGTCCCGATTTGTCATTGTTAAGGCTGCGTGTGCCCAAGGCCCGCTGGGCTGTCCCGTTTTGTCGTTGTTAAGGCTGCATGTACCCAAGGCCCGCTGGGCCCACAGGCAGTCTCTGGGGGTGGGAGTCGCCCAGCGACGCGCCCCACGAGCTGGGCCTTCGTCACGGCCGGCCTCCACCCCTCTGCCACCCGGGCCGGCTGTGTGGCAGCGGGCTCTCACTCCATGCTCCCCAGCATTCCATTATCACACCGCTCTGTTTCTTCGTTTCAGGGTTACACTAAGGACATGGTGACAGACTTTGATGAGAAACATGATGAGTATTTAATATTGCTTCAGCAGAGGAACCGGTAAGATGAAGCCGCTCGAAGGCTGCCCCCCCAGTGTTGGCCAAACTAAAGCCCTATTTAGATTTATTAACAGCGCGCAGGCCCCTGCTTCGGACAGGAGTGAGACACACAGTCCCCCCTCAGCTCAGAGGCTTAAACTGTTACCTGCAGTCCCGGCTTGCATTTCCCCATCCGCTGGCTGAATTGCTTGCTTTGACTGAGCTGTGGCAGGAGCCGAAGGACATGGACGTGCCTCCTCCTGGCTCCTGCTTGTGTGGGGAGAAAGTGGGCTTGTCATGGAAAGCTGGAATTTGGCAGCTTCTGTGTCCTCGGCCCCTCAGTGGCCCCGTCTGTGATCTTACAGGCTTTGAAATCCAAGCCTGTCATCAGGCCTTGTTCTGTGTTGGCGGAGTCATTTTACCTTCATATTTGAAGTCGGCCGGCATGTCATTTACAATTAAGTCAGAATGGATTTTGACTGTGGAGTGCTGGTTCTTGGAGGGAGGAGGGGAAGGGAAGCTTGCAGACTGTGCAATACTTAGTGGGTAAAGGTCAAGGCGGTGGGGCCTGCTTTGAAGGAGGCTTCATCTTCTGTGGTGCCTCTGCAGGACTGAGGAAGTTCATGCCTCGGTTTGCTGGAGATTCTCCTTCAGCTAATACATTGCATGGATCTGAGTTGGCCGATGCAGACGCGGAGCAGGAAGGTGTGAGATGTGAACAGAGCCAGCTGGTGGGGACACTGGGGGCCTAGAGTGCTCCCATCGAGAAGGTGTTGGTTGCGTGGGGACATAACTCAGATCCGCCATGCTTTCCAGGGAAACAGAAAAATCTGGATTTGAGTTGTAATAGTTCCTGAGTTTAAAAATACTGGTATTGGGTTCAAATTAAGACCCAAAATGAACTTAAGAATGCTGCAGCCTTTACAAAACAGATCCACAGTGAAGACTAAGAAGGGGCTGCCAGCTGGGGCCTAGCCTCGGCATTCTGGGAGTGGATGTGAGATCTTTGGGCAGGAGAATCTGGAGACTGTTAATTCCAGATGTGGATTCAGCCCTCGGAGGCTGGCTGGACACTTGTTTGACAATGCTCCTTAGTGGCCCTCCCTCCCCGCCATGAGACAAGTTTTTGTGGTATGTGATAGCCCCATGCACTGTAAGAGTTGAACATCCTTGTCCCTTACTCCATTTGCTAAATTTCACCATGATTTCCTGGTTTCCATGATACCACCATCTGCTGTAGAGGTGGTACTGGCCCTGGTGGAGAACCCTCTGAGCTAGACCTGCTGGCCAGGACCAGCCAACATTGCCTGGGTGATGTCCCCATGCTGCTCTGTGACATCTCTTGTCATCTCAGGGACAACTTCAGATGAGAAATGTAGAATGCGAATGCCGATTAGACCAGCCTGGGTTTCTAGCATCGTTAATGCCACAGAACGGGACACTTTTGTTCAGTCCCTGACAGGCTGCATGCTGCCACTGAACACCTGGGAGGTGGGTTAGTCATCTGCAGGTGACTCGTCATCAAAGGTGTCAGAGGTCCTTCTGAGTAAACTGCTGTCATTAATCGGGGCAATCAGCAAGGGTGCAAGGAGGGACCAGCCAATGGCAGATAAGAGAATCCCCAGAGACAAGGTTCCAGAACAAAGGCAATTAAAACGATAGAGCAAAACAGTTGTCATAACATTTGGGAGGGCATGTTGTCACACAGAGAGAGCTGGCTTGATCACAGGAAATTGGACGGGGGAACAGAAAAGAAACATCTTTGAATAGAGACCTATTAGGAGTGGGAGTGCCTCTGAGCCCTCGTCAGATCGAGCCTTTAAAGTGCCTTTTTTCCTGAGCATTAGCTGTTTGTCTCATTGTCTAATTTGTTCTGCGCGCACACAGTGAGGTAGAGACCATGGTACGCCTGTTTTACAGACGTAAAAGGAGAGACTTAGTGGTAGGGGTTTAGGATCCTTGCATGCCATCCCCCCCTTGCTGAACTCGTCCATGACTCCCCAGTTGTGACAACAGCAGTATCCACTTCCCAAGCCTGCTGGGCATGTGGCACTGCTCCTGGCAGAGAAGCTCTGAGCTGGTGGTTGTGGTTGTCATTTGCCGGCGAGTCAGTTCTGACTCATGGTGACCCTGCAGGTTATCAAGGCTCTGACCCTCAGAAGCAGATAGCCAGGCCTGGCTGCCGAGGCGCCTCTTGGCTGGTAATCGAGCACTTAACCATTTGTGTCACCCAGGGACTCGCAAGAGGTGGTGTTGTTATTGTTGTTTTTGAGTTGGAAGCAACTCATAACTGACGCTCCAGTGGATTTTCAGAGGTGTTAAATATCACACAGGAGGAGACTGTCCAGCTTTCTCCCAAGGAGCAGTTCGTAGATTCAAACCACATGCCTCCGGGTTGACAGTGCATCTCCTTACCACCAGGCCACCAGAGGTCACTCTAGGAAGCGAGCCGTTTGCTTCACAAACACCCCCAGGAAGTGGTAGAGCCCATCTGTACTCTTTCATTGACACTTCATTCAACGTTGCCATAAATTGTCAAGAGAAGAGAAATAGTCCGGGGTTGCCAGTAGTTCAATAGCAAGGGATTTATGTGAGAATATACTGCAGTTCATGTGGAAACCTGGCTGGAAAGCAACTTCTTAGCGTTGCCCTGGGCACCGCAATGGGTAAACCCCAGGGCAGGGCTGACACAGGCGCAGTTCACGGGAGGGATTTGTGGAGGACTCTACCCCAGCAGGACGCTCTCACTGCTGACCCACAAGGCCACGCCTCTCCAACAGTTTGAATCCACCAGCCACTGTGTAGAAGAAGATGGGAAATCTGACCTCTGGTCCCAGGAACCTCAGGAGGCTTAGCTCTTGGTCGGTTCTGGTTTGGTGGCTTTGAGTTTGTGGCTGCCCCAGAGATGCTGAGTGATGCTCATTTGTTTAACTGAGTTTCTTGAGTCCCCCGAATGCCTTTCATTGCGCAAAGATGAGGATGGTACCAACTCCATTACTCAGAACTCATTTGGTTGTAAGGGACAGAATTCCGAGGGCCTGAACAGCCAGGAAATGTATTGATTCATGTAATTAAGACATTCAGGGTGATAGGCATGTCTGGATCTAGGTAACATGCCCCCAGAAGGAGCTGTCTCCATCTCTGAGCTGTTTTCTCATTTAAAATTCATTCTTCGACAGAGCCTTCTGTCGGAGTGGCAAAGACAGCCGCTGAATTCTTACCTTATAGGAAAGAGAACATTTCTAATAGCCCAGTGGTGAGTGGTGAGGAGGGCGCCCATTGGCTTGGCTTGGGTCTCATTCCCATCCCTGAGCCAATCAGTGTCTGGTGAGGTGGCACAGTCTGATTGGCTCCCCCTGTGCCACCTCTGAAATTGAAAGAGTCAGTTATATCCAAACCACATGGAGCAAGAGAAAGAGAAAAACAGCTTCCAAAAGGCAATTTGAGGGGATTTGTTGTTGTTGTTATTTAATTTTTGTTTTAAATAAAATTTATATTTTATACTGATTTACTTATAAAGTTTGTATACATTGTTTTTCATACTGGATCTTTCCCATTTCCTTTATCCACCCCTCCTTCCATCCATCAGATTATATGACCCTATGATTAACCACCCCCACCCCTGGCCATCCTTACCCGTCTGCTCTCCCCCACCCCTCCTTGGATTCACATACACATCCTATAATAATGGTCTTCTACAGTATTTGTCCTTATAGGATTGAGTTAGTTCACTTAGCATAATGCTCTCCAGACTGAGGGGATGATTTTGAAAGAAGAGAAAGAGCTGCTGGGTAAGGGGAAAAAAGGAACAAATGTCTACTGTGTTCAGCTAATTATTAAGAAGTAATGATGTCAGTTTGAGGACCAAAGTGCATCTGATTCAGGCTTTCCGATCACTTGCTATGCATCTGAGAGTTGGGCAATGAATAGGGATGATAGAAGAAGAATTGATGCTTTGAGCTGTAGTATTAGAGACGAGTGCTGGACATCCCACGGACTGCCGAAAGAACAAATAAATACGTCTTAGAGAAAGTGCAGTCAGAGTGCTCTTTGGAGGCAAAGATGATAAAGCTTCCCCTCACGTACTTTGGGGATGCTGCTAGGAGGGGCTGTTCCTTGGAGAGGAACATGATGCTCGGAAAGGCAGAGGGTCAGTGAAGGAGAGGAAGACCCTCAACCAGGTGGATTGGCACAGTAACTGCCGCAGTGGGCTCTAGTGTGTCAGGAGTGGAGGATGGCACAGGATAGGACAGGATTCAGATCTGTTATTCATAGGGTCGCTGTGGGTCATACTCAACTCAGCAGCACCTAACAACAACAACAACAACAACACTGCCTGGGTCCCTGCTTCACTGTCCCAAAGAGCGGTGTCTTCCCAGTCAGCTCAGCATGCACCTGTCAGGTCCCCCCCATTGTCCCTCCTAGTACTCTGCACCTTTAGCTCCCCTGTCCTTTCAGGTCCTTCAGCTCATCTGTGCACTGAGCTGATCAGAATTTCCCCCTCAAGTCCACGCAGGGACAGTGGAAGCCCTGCCTGGGATGCTCCTCAGATGAGTAGGCGTCCAGTGTGTTGGGACCCTCCTCAGCCGTCCTCCTGTGTGAGCTCTGAGGTGCTGTTATTGTTCAAGAAAGGGGGCTGCAAAGTGCCCAGCACGGTTCCTTGCCCTAGAGCTCAGTATCCAGGGGCTGGGAGGGGGAAGGAACAAATGCACAGATAAAGCCATAATCAGATAGCAGGCGGTGATATGTGTGCTGTGGAAAAATAGGACAGGAAAATAGAGTGTGTGACTCTTTATGCAAAGTAGGCTATCAATAAAAAAAAATAAATCCAACACTTTTTTTAATACCCCATGAATATTACTGGTGCACGCTTAGCTTCAGTAGGGGGGCTCTTTTCACAGTCTGAATAATTATCTCCTCATTTATCAGTTTCATAAATCCACATTTTCATAAATCATTCGGTTTCAAGAGAGACCCATGTGGAAGACCAGCCCCCGGTCTGGGTTCTGTCACAGTGCGGGCAGTGTTAGGACGCAGAGGGGTCTCTAGGAGAGAAACTGAGGCAGCCCTCTGCCTGGGAGGGGCTTCCTGACCTGCTCCACCCCAGGCCCACCAGGGCTGGTCCCCAACTCTCTCCCTCTGGAGGCTGCTGGTACCCTCGCATGCTCGATTGTTTTGCTTCAGGGAGCTCAGCTTTTGCCGGGCCTGGAGACCGTCACTTAGTTACCTGTGTTTTCTTTCTGTTTTATACCGTTACCCAACAATTGAGTATCTCCTCAGTCTCAGAGGCTGGCGAGAGATAAGTCCTCTATAATAAATGTTCCTGCCACAGCTGTTGAAAAGATGGATGTATTAGCAGCTAAAGAGACATTTAAAAACAAACAGAATTGGCCCACAAGGGTCCCCTCCCTAACTCAACAACTGACTGCAGTTTTCCATCCATCATCCTTCACTCTGGGTCCACATACACTCTTTTCTGATTTTGCATCGACCATTAGTCGATGGTTCTTCTCTGCCTGCCTCTCTCTCCCTGAGTTTTCACAGTCCTCACAGTTAAAGTGGCTGCCTAACACCCAGCTTTCGCATCCTTTGTGTTGGACCTTTCTGTTCCTTTCAAGTTCTGTCCAGACTGGGCCCACAGATTTTCCTCTCTGGAGTCTGTTCTCTGGAATGATGTACCAGAACGCATGCCCTGGGAATGCTTTGCGTTTTCATATTCTTTCCAAGAGTTTACTAGCACTGTCTGAATTCCCCAGTTTATTTCAACATTATCTTGCCAGCTTTAGAAATCTTTTTTGTGTGATGGTGGAACTCCAAGTTCCCCACCGTGCCATGTTGTTGTTATTGTTGTTTGCTTTCCAATCGAGCATGCCTCATAGCGACCCCATGAACAAAAGGCCTGAAGCACCTATGCAGCTATCGACATTTATCAAAATTTATAGTTTCCGGAGGCATGTTATTTAGGAAGTGGATGCCACTCCTGCTTCCAGACCTGTCGTAGTATGTTATTGGTTGAGTCACCTGTGACCCTCTGTACAGCAGCTCTGAACCCTTCCCTGGCCTGAGCCAGTCTCACTAACTCCGACACACCAACTCCCATTATTCCAGTCATTGTATCAATCCATCTCATCCGGGGTCTCCCTCTCTTGTGCTGTCTGTCCACCCTTCCAAGCATGATGTCCTTCTCCAAAGACCAATCTTTCCTGGCCATGTGCCCAAAGTAAGTGAGGCGGAGCTTCAAAATCCTAGCCTCCAAGTAGAGACTTGGTTTCACCCTCTCCAAGACAGACCTCGTTGTTTTCTTCGTATGATTTTCCATGATAAGTTCAAGACCCTGCCATACAACACCTAATTTCTCTGTGCCTTAGTTTCCCTATCTGTTAAATGAAGATAAGGAACACAGTTACCCCGTGAGGTTGTCACGAAGACTACTGTCTTAATAGTTATGTAAAGCCTTTGGAACAGTTTGGCTCATAATATGTACCTTTTAAGTAATAAGTAGTAATTTTTCATATGGTTGAGAAGATTTAAATTTTGCTAGTGTGGCAGATATTTACTTCTTGCAGAGGACACGCAGAGTCATCATCTTGGTTGATTGTCAGTCAGCTCCTGTGGTGATAAATCTGGTTGATGCAGGGGACCAGACACTGGGGACTTGCTGTGCAGAGGAGGTGGTTCTGGGGGCCACTGGAGAGGCTGAAAGCTGCATGCATGACACTGCTTTGTCAAGAGCCCAAGGTGGGAGACGAAAACTGAAAACTGAAGTGGAGACTAGATCTCGTTCATGTTAAGACTCCTATGTCCCAAGCACTTGGAGAGTCACATCCTTCACCTCAGAGGTCTTCATTGACATGTTGTTTAAAATTGCATAAGAAATTATGTGGTTTAAACCGATACAAAATGATGACATCTGAGACAGCAAGGGTAGATGTCTGAGGAGACACCCCCCCCCCACACACACACACATGCTAACACGCTCACGTATTTTCTGGAGCAAGAATTAGTCCCCTTAGTTGAAAGGTGTTTCTCATTTGTAGATGTGTTACCTGAAATCTCTCTTTCTCAAAGAATTTGACTCTAAACCATATTTTGTTCAGTATTGGATAAAGTAAACGGATGGATTTGAAACAGAAAGACTTTAGTGCAGGCAATCAGGTGCTAAGAAATGAAGTAAGGTCACATGGGTGTGGGATCGTCTCAGAAGGCCCAGCCTCAGGGGAAGCTGCACGCACATCCTCTCATTGGAGTGAGAGCGTTTGGGTTTAGTTTGCTCAGATGGGGTCCAGCCTCAGTAGGGGGCAGGACTGGCCTGCAAGCCCACAGATGTGCCCCCCTCTCCGCCCGCCCCCGCGGTGTCACCCTGTATGCAGCCGGCTCGCCAGAGGCTTTTTCTAAACAAATAACTGATTTAAGACAATAGGGAGCAGTCAGCTCTGTGCTGGGGGGCCCACCCAAACTCTCCTGTGATGAGGAGAAAGTGGTTCTTTCTCTTATAGGATATTAAAGCATTTGAAAACCAAGGACCCCGTACAGTTGAGGCTGGAACACTTGGAACAGGGGTTCTCTGTCTACGTCAATGGGGCCAATTCTGAGCTGAAGACGTCACCACGCAAAGCTGTCCACTCCGACTTCTCCAGAAGTGCCTCCCACGCCGAGGGGACACATGGTGAGTACGGGCCTGTCCAGGCCGACCGATAACTCTGCTGGCTGATTAGGAGAGTGAAGCCACATCCCATGTTTCAGTGGAACTTCCAGACTAAGACTAGGAAGAAAGGCCTGGCGATCTACTGCTAAAATCTAGCCAGTGAAACACGGGAACACAGTGGTGGGACTCCATCGTGCAGCTAACCACATTAATACCTGCTAGGCCAGGAAGAAAGAGAACATTCATATGTTGTTGTTGTTGTTGTTGTTGTTGTTAAGTGCCGTGGGCGACTCATAGCAACCTTATGAGTGAAAGTCCTCAACACTTGCGTGGCTTTCATCCTCTCTCCAGGTTCATAGGGTCTCCGGAGGCAAGCTATTTACGGAAGTGGATGCCACTCCTGCTTCCAAGCTTATTTTAATCGGAGAGCTCCACCAAACACTGTCAGCCATGGGTAACCATTATCGCATCTGACACATTAGTGTCACAGTTTTCAGCTTCACAGCAACCACAAGTTACCTCTGTACAGCAAGTGGACACACCCAGGCTATATGATTTAGAAGAATGTTTGACCAAAAATAATTAAGAACAGGCCTGAGGGCTACAGATTAGAGTCACCCACCTTTGGCTTGGTAGCATCACTTTCTGTCTAGTAGGCCAACTGGTCTCTCTCTATGTTGTTAAGTGCCGTTGAGTCGTAGGTGACTCATAGCGATCCTATGAACGAAAGTCCTCAACACTACCCACACTATGTTTTGTAAAATGAGAATAATTATGCCCACTTTGCTGGTTTACCATGAGGATTAAATGACACAAGAAATACAGTATGCCTGGCACAACAGTTATCTTGGTCTATGCTACTCTCATTCTTCACCTTGAAGTACCATAAGATCCCAACCCATCCATCCATACATACATAGTAAAGAACAAAAACAAGGTATCAGAAAAAGGAGAAAGTGGTGTCCAGAACCTCCCTTCAGGTGAGCCACTGCCAGTTAAATCTTGGGATGCAGAGCTTCCTAGTCCTCAGGGCGAAAAGGGAAAGCTGATGAGAGCCTCTGGCTTTTCCAATGGACAAGCCCCCACAGGCCTCCTGCTGGTCTGGAGAATCAGGCCTTTTCTGATGTTTTGTGCCCAGAAGTCTCTGCATCTGGCTCCTTGAGTGAAGGCATTCAGTCACTCAAAGACCTGCCTCCCCCCGCCTTTTTGCACATATGCTGGCCTGTCGTGCACACTGGTCTCTGTCTTCCATTGTGCTTTGCAGATGGTTCCCTGTGTGTATAGATGTGCCCGATTCAGCTGAACATAATTATCCCTCTTACTCCATGGCAGGGGTGGACTTTAGTAATAATTATGAAGCCGGCCCTTTCTGCTAGGCATTGATTTGGCTTCTCACATCTCGCTGCTGCTGCAGCCGGCGCTGCCGGGATGTGCACGCAGACGCAACCTTGGGGCTCATTGGCAGGTGTTTGTCTCTGGTGCCTCAACAAGTCTCCTTTCCCCCGTCTCTGGTGCAGATTATGGACGAAGAGCCTTGCTTCGAGAAGCTGAAGAAGTCTTAAGACGCGGCTCCCGGACAGCCCCCAGCAAAGTCCAGCGTCGAGGATGGCACCAGGTCTGCACCCCTTCCCCCAGGCAGAGCCCAACCCGGAACCCCAGCTCACACAGTTGGCCAGGGAGTGGCAGACACATACCGAGAGCACTTCAGCTCCCTAGGCAACGAGTGGAATGGGGTGCTTTCAGCGGTGCAGGTGGAACAGACCTGAGGAGCCCCAAGGCCCCTCACTCACTAGCCTTCCCTACTGCCACCCCAGGCCCGCTGGGAGTAGACTCACAGCCCTATCCAAGGCCTCAGGCACACAATAGCTTTTTATTGAGCATCTACTGTGTGTCTACCATAATCTAAAATGCCAGGGATACAGTGGTGACAAGACCAAGCCCTGCCTGGAGGGTTTAGCTGGCAGTTTGCGTTGTTACTGGTCCTGCTGAGATTGACAGCTTACTGTGTAGACCCCCTGCAGAGGTCCAGGGTGGGAAGGGTGAGCCTTCACCTCTGGCCTCACAGTGTGCCCCTAGCATAAATGCTTGTTGTTCCTTTAAAGAGCTCTGGTGGCATAAAATGGTATGTGGTGGACACCTAACTCAAGGCCAGCAGTTGAAGTCCACCAGCCCGTTATGTAGGAGAAAGATGGGCAGCCTCCTCCCGTAAAAATACACAGCCATGGAAGTCGATGAGGGTCACCAGGAGTTGACGTGGACTCGAGGTAGTGGGTTGGGTTTGAGTGGGTTGTTCCTTTAAAGCGGCTGAAGAGAAAGATGCTCAGAAAAGTCAAGTGAGCTGTCCAAGGTCAAGAGCTAAGAAGTGGCAGAGTCAAGAGTCAAGCTCAGGTGTTTTGCTTCAGGTTCAGTGTTCTTGCCCACATATATATGTGTGCGCGCGTGCGTGTGTGAGTGTGAGTGTGTGTGTGTGTCTCAGTGTCTCAGTGTGTATACTTTGCCTCACTCAGACGCATGGGTCTCAACCCTGCTGAACTTTCAAATCACCTGTAAGATTTAAAAAAACCTGGGTGCTCAGGCCTCACCCCCAAAGATTCTTCCATAGTTAATGTGAGGTGGGGCTCCATCCCTCATGACACTCCTCCCCTGTAGAAGGTTCGGGTCTGTGGCCACGTGCTCTGTGGGTGCAGCTTTTCAGCCTCTGTAGCGTGGTAAGCTTTCGCATCGTGCTGTTAAACAAGAGGTCCATCCAAGAGTGCTGCCTTGCTCAGCCTCACACAGCTAAGGGCCCAGAGGAGAGGGGGGATTTGACCCCTGACATACAGGTACACACGCCCAGGGGCCTCCCCATGTCACGCAAGCACGCTTGCAGGTCTGAGATGAAATGCAGATGTTCAGCCAGCTCACTCCTGTCTCCTGCGTCCTCATTTAGTCTCCAGCAATGAAAGTTAATTTCTCGTTAATGAGGCCTTTCACTGCTTTCCATTTCAGACAGTCCAAGCAGCGGTTTTGAGTCCCTTCCGTTATCAGGAGCCCTGTCTGCATCTCAGACTGTGACTTAATGGTCGGCTCAGCATCCATGCATAATGGCCTGAGAATAAGCACCCCTCCTCTGGCTCTTCCCCTGCGGCCCCACACGTCACAGGCCTGACCGGGCCTCGTCTCCTGGCTTCCAGGTGCCATGAGGGCCGTAATTGTCCCCCTGCACTACCAGCCAGGGGTCAGCTGGCACCTAACCACAGCCAAGCCTCCTTTCTCCCATTTTAAACAGAGAGGCATTTGATGCAGGGAACGAGGTGCTTATAAAAGCCTGCATGAGGAGTAGGTGCTCAGCCCGGGGCTCCAGGAATGGTGCCCGAAAGCCTCCTAGCGCTGGTCTACCGGGAAAGCTGCACCCCCTGACACAGTCAGGAAGGCGGGGAACACCTTAGCTGTGGTCTAGAAATCAGGGAAGCAGTACCTCTACTGTAGGGCTCTGGGCATCCTGTACCCACCAGAGCCATGTGCTGAACAAGGACCTGCCCATAGCTGGTCCAGCTGTATGGGACATTGTCAGGAAACCCGTCACCTGCAGGACATGGGACCACCCACCACCTCGCCTCACCCCACTTCTGCTTTCCCCATGCAATACGATCCCCTCATTGAGCCTAAACCGCAGCTCGAACCCAGCCTGGAAGGCGCTCTAGGGGTGCAGCACGTGGCTTTCCTGACTCTCTGGACCACCATGGCCCGGGAGGGGAGGGATAGGTGCTGAGAGCCAGCCCTCTCCGTACCCACCAGTGGCCGTGCTCCACGCCCACGCGGTCTTTGGGGACAACCCTGTCATAGCTGGAGGGAGTAAGGAATGGGACAAGCAGGGCACGGCTAGGGAGGGACTAGAGCCCACTTCGGGAATGAAATCCCCCGTTCACGTAAGGAAAGGCTTTGACACCTTACAAGTAAGTGGGCCAGGCACTGCATGAGGCTCTGAGATTCAAAACCAGAAATCCACATCTCAGTTCCTGTTCACCAAGGCCCTGCAAACTCGGGGGACTTCCTGGCGTGGGAGGAAGACGTTCTCAAACAGAGAGAGGACTGGCCAGTGGAGTCCCACAGTTAAATGGACGCTTGTGAATCAAACCTGCCCCAGACATTTTTTCCAAACTCACACAGATTAAAAAAAAAAATCTTTGGGGGTTATAATTTTCCAATATTTAAATTCTCAGAACTCTCTGTGTGTGTGTATATATATATGAGTATTTGGTGATATGGTTCTTAATGTACTGGGCAACTAATCCAAAGATTGATGGTTCGAACCCACCAGTGGCTCTGAGGGAGAAAGATGGGCCTTCCCCTCCTGTAAAGATTCACAGCCTTATAAACCTGACGGAGAGTTTCTGTGAGCCAGAAAGAATCTCCTCGTTGTTGTTGTTGTTACTTGCCATCAAGTCACCTGTGACTCACAGCAACCCTATGTACCAGAGCCCTAAACACTGCCCTATCCTGTGTCAGTCTCACTGTCTCTGACGCACCTTGCCCCGTTACCCCTGTCACTGAATCAATCCATCTCATCGAGGGCCTTCCTCTCCTGCGTTGTCCCTCCACCCTCCCAAGCATGATAATCCCTCTCCAAGGACCGGTCCCTCCTTGCAACATGTCGAGAGTATGTCAGACAAAGCTTCAGAATCCTTACCTCCAAGGAGCAGCCTGGTTTCACTCTCTCTAGGATGAACATGTTTGTTCTCCTAGCAGTCCTTGATATATCGGTACTCTTCTCCAGCACCACAGCTCAAAGGCATCAATTCTCCTTCTATCATCTCCTCTATGGGAGTGGGAAATGCGTGTACATCTAGATTCCTACTTTCCTGGAGAAATACAACACACTGACTCCCTAGAGTGCTGGCCTTTTCTCCCGATGAGTGGGCACCAGCCTTCCAGTTTGCTGAGACCAGTTGTGTCGATTGCAGTTTATTATCATGATTGGGCCGCTCCTTCCCTAACACCTGGTGGCTTTCCTCATCCTGTCTCATCAGAGCCTCTGGACTTGGGGCTCTTGGGGCAGGGATGGGAATGCACTTAGGGGTCAAACTGCTCGCCAGCTAGAGATGCACCCCAGAGCTGCTGTTCCAGCTCTCCAAGCTTTGGTTTCATCATCATTAAGCGCTTGCAGGGCCTCTGGGGGAAAGTGTGCCACACGGTACATGTCACAGGGTTGTCACACTTTTGTTGGGGACACCAGACACAGAGACAAATATGGAGAAATGATGGGGGAGCACAGACTTTAGTGCAGCAACTGGGGTTCAGAGCTGGTCCCCACCATATAAGTTGCATGATCCTGGGCAGATTGGCCTGTCTCCACACAGACAGTGGGACCTATGTCCCTCTGACCTCTGGTTTCCACCCTGCGGCACTGCCCAGCCTCCGCCTTTCCCTCTCACAGGCTTCATGCACACCCACAGCTTGCTGCCCGCATGCCCCCGCCTTCCCGAGTGCCGCCTTCTTCGTTCCCACAGAGCTGGCCCAGATCCCCCAGTCACACTCTGGGGGTCCCTCTGCCATGCATCGCCTCATCCAGGCTGAGATGTCCTTCCGCCTCTGTCAGCTCTGGCGGGGGCTGGGTCAGGGGTGGGCCCTGTGGCTTCCTGTTGCAGAGGCTGCAGGTCGGATGCAGAAAAGATGTGTTGTGCCAGCTACATTATTGTTATTGTCGTCAGAGAGGAGGGAGGGACTTGTATCCTCTTGTCTTCCAGAGGTGGGTATGTGTGTTGTTTTGTGCCGTCAAGTCAGAGTTGACCCATTGCTGACCCCTCAGTGGGTTTACAGAGGCATTAAATTGTAGGAGAGAAGATTGCCTGTCTTTCTTCCATGGAGCAGTTGGTGGATTCGAACTACGTGCCTTTGGGACTGCAGCACGGCTCCTTACCACCAGGCCACCAGAGCTCCCTCCAGAGGTGGCGTTAACGTAGATTTCTCTCTGGTATAAAACACATGAGACCGTTTGGGGATTTATGGGACACACAGATAGGACAGCCTCCCTCCTGCCTCTCCCCGAGTGTGTTCTGTCAGGTTGGAGGAAGCCTGTGATCACACAGCCAAGTCCGCGGCGGCTGGCAATGGCCAGTTCACTAACTCCATCCCATCAGGAGAGCCCCCGTGGCCCTCTGTCTGTCCTGGAATTCCTCTCTTCCCTCAGTGCCCAGGGAAACACGGCCAGGCCAGCAGGAGCGCAGAGGACACAGCAGTGGACCCTCGGCTCATTGTCAGCTGTCCAATCGCTGGACTCCCCTGCCCCCACCAGTGTCTCATGTCCCATGTCCTCTCATGGAGCCCGCTCACTCGTAGTGGGCTTCCCTCGTAGAACCCATTTGCTGGCTCCTAGAGGCCCTATAGGTGAGGTGGAAATGCCCCAGAGCGTTGTCCCCAAGGCTGTCAATCACTCTGGAACAGGAGTGCCTCAGCTTTCTTCCCAGGAGCCGCTGGTGGGTTTCAAACCATCAACCTTTTCTTTTTCTTTTTTTTTTTTTACCATCAACCTTTTCATAATCATGTGAGTGCTTTACCCACTCCCCCACGCACCCCGTCCTTTCTTCTCACAGACATTGAGGAAGTGCCTTGCCCTCACCGCATAAAGGACCTCAG